ATTGCCAGCACTGTATTGGCTGAGTCTGCGGCGAGTTGGCGCACGAATTCGCGGCCAATGCCTTTGGAGGCTCCAGTGATGGCGTATGAGGACATTTTCCGATAGTGAATATGAAATGTAAAAACAATAAATCTTAGTATCAAATAAGTAAATTCTGCCTGATGCTCTTGCGATATTTTTTCGCTATACTCATCGACATTTATATACATTCGGCGGATTACCAACCCTCCCGACCGGACGATCCGATCCCCCGGTCTTACTACTCCTTGTCAGCAAGCGGGAGTAAGCAACTTCATCAATCGGCCGATCCGTTCCCCCCGTTCCCGACTCCTCACTATGCGACATCATGAGCTCCCCAATCTCTGCAATCAAAAGGAGAGCATGCGTGGCGTGCACCACCGCCAAGGCGAAGTGTACGCCACAGGCTGCCAACCTGTGCCAGCGGTGCGCTCGTCTAGGCAAGTCGTGCACGTACCTTGACCTTCCGCAGACAAAGCGTAAGCAGAGACAGAAGGCTGCACCGAGGTACTCCCCTCTACCATAGACAATTAGCACTGCAAGTGCTAACTGAAATTGATGCAGCCGTGTAGAGCTCTTGGAGAAGAAAGTCGACCAGCTCTTGTCCCAGCTGGCTACCTTGACGCAACAACAACAGAATGGACAGACCTTACCGCCTGATACCTCGACTAATGATAGTCTACCTAACAGTAACATCAACAGAGACCTGCACACATCTTCTCATGATTCCTCCTCCCAAGGAAATTCAACGGACACAGACATAGCCGCGCTGCTAGACGCAGCTAAAGACCCTTCCCACGGCCCCAATCCACCGACCAGCTCTGTCCTCGCGGGCCAGCCATCACTCGTAGACCGAGGGCTCTTGAGTCCAGCTGAGGCCGAGCGTATGCTCACAGTTTTCAAAGCTGACTTCGCTGCCAAATTTCCGTTTGTTTTGATCCCGCATGGTCAGACAGCCGATCAACTCAGGGTCAGAGAACCGTTTCTATTTCTGTGTGTTGTCGCCGCGACAATGGGCAGTGCACATCCTCTGCGCAAGATCGTCGCCGACGAAATCATGAACCATGTTACTTCGAGGATAGTAGCACGGTCTGAGAGGAATCTCGAGTTGCTTCGTGGGTTGTTGGTTCATTGTGCGTGGTACATGTATCCTGCTGAGAAGTATCATCCAAGGCTGTTGCTGTTGATTCAGCTTTGTGTTACGATTGTGCATGATTTGAAGTTGCATAGGAGGGGTGGGTTGGGTGCGGATGAGCAGAGGGCGCTGTTGGGGACGTATTGGTTGTCTGTTGGGTGAGTGACTGCTTTCTCTATATTCGATTTCATGCTAATAGTATTTACTACGTGCTGCTAGGTTCTATGGCACGCTCGGCAGACCTGTTACCATGAAACATGACAGTCGAATTGACGAATGCCTCAAGAGTCTAGCATCATCTTCCACCACCGAGTATACATCAGATCGCTGGATCGCACCATTCATCCATCTACAATCAATCATGGCAACAATGGACGAAGTCTACGCTTCGATGCAAGCATCTGGCGGAAGTGCCCTTGTGCAAGTCACGCGCGGATCTCTACAGCGACAATTCGACAACCTACGGACATCTATAGAGAGAGATCTCCCAAGCTGTCCCCCTTTTATAGGTACCTACCATCACCCACCCACCCACCATTCCCACATAGTCATCCACGAATAATAACCAACCAAACCAAACCCACCAGCAACGGCACTCACCACCGAACTCAAATACACCGAAATGCGTCTCGACGACCCATCCCTCCGCGAAGACCTCTGGACCACAGACCCCGCCACCACCATCATCCGAACAACCATGCTGATGATCCTCATCCAACGAAGCAAGGAACTCATTCAAATGGTCACGAACCTCCCCGTATCAGAGATCCCCCAGCTGACAGTCATAACGAACGCCCGTATCTGCGCTGCGGTTGGATACATCCCCACTGCTGTATTGGCACTTCTTAATATTATAAGGAGCACTTCTTCTTCTTCTTCCTCAACACCGAATCAAGACCAAATCCAAACCATAATCACCACAGCAGACTACCCCACCCTCGTCACTTCGCTAGCCACAGCACTAGAAACCAAGCTCCAACATGAACAGGGGAAACCGATGTTATCTGCCGCAGACAAAGAGATGGACGTGGTAGGAAGTCTTTGTTCCAAGATGCGGTTGTTGGCCCGTTGTTATCCTTATCAGGTTAGGGGGGTCGTGGTGGTGGGAAATGATACAATCAGGCGGGATAATAATAATAATAATAATAATAATATGTCGTTGTCCTCCACGGCGACTAGTACTAGTACTACGGATCATCATCAGCTAGATGTTAATAGAGGTGAGGTTGATGGTGATGGTGATGGTGAGATGGTATCCCAGGACTGGATGCCAGATAGTATTGATGGTAATAGTATCTACGGCGATTTGGAGGGTACTATGTTTAATGTGGATGATGTTCAGTGGGATGCGCTATTGAGGGATTTTACGACGGGGTTTGGGTAGATTGTGTGTGGTTTTACTTATGATCTTATTAATTTGGTTTTTTGTTGGTTGGTTGGTTGATCATGATCGAGCTACTATGTACTTTTGGTAATTGGATATCTTGTGAGCTTTCAGTTGCTGGGATTTTTCTTTTGTTCCCGCGGGTGGAATCGGATCTTCCGGTGTCGGGTGGGATTTCGAGTGGAAGATCGCGTGATGATTTTCTCTACTTTTGAGTATATAGGTAGTAGGGTTTCGATGAATAACCCGATTGGTCATGCTTATGGCTTGTTTTGAAATACATTCCGGTTCTGGGTACAAAACACTAGCTGATACATGCAAGAAGTGAATGAATCGTGGGATGAGAAGCAAAATGCTATTTATCAGACTACTCTATCTATTGAATCAGGCATTCAACCAAGGCAGACCGTGTTCGAATCAGCGCTCAATTGCAAAGCAGCAGGTTCCCGGCGAAGATACTATGTCTCCAAAACGACACTTCCCGGATGCGAGTAGAACCAGTTCTTTCTTTAACGGGGGATAATCAATGACAGAAACAAAAAATCCATCCAATGAGAACAGCCGACCATGAGCGTATGTTTTGCATTTCAAGAATTCATAATCCCAGCAGACAGGGAGTAAGGGCATAACACAGGACAGCATAACGGATAGATAGCGATATCGAATAATATCGTATAACAGCGGTAGGTAGTCCAGGAAACGCCCGCGACTTCCGGAACGATAGTATTATAATCCGTCTCAAAGAGTCAGGCCTCTCCTCCCCACCATTGTCTTAAAACTGAACACATGTACACTGTATTTGAAGAAGGCAGCGGCAGATTGGAACTAGTAGTGGCCTACTGCACATCCATGCCCCGCTGCAGCGACGATTCCAGATCGTTGTGGTGGCCACCGCCTGCGGCGAGCGCTTCCTGGGGCTTGGGTTCCTCCGTCTTCCATCCGCCTTGTTGATTGTCGGGGATGGGCACGTTGGTCTGCTGGGCAATCTGCTGCTGCTGCGCGGCGGCCTGCGCCTGCGACTGCTGCCGGACCAGAGCCCGGAAGCGCACTACCTCGTCGTAGATCATGTGACGCATCTCCTGCACGTCCTCGACCACCTCGAAGTGGAAGTCGAAAGTCGTCGGGCAGGTGGGCTCATCCGAGGCGTCGTGCCAGATGTGCAAGTAAGGATGCTCAAGGGCCTCCTCAACCGAGATACGCGACGTCGGGTCGAACGCAAGCATGCGATCGAGCAGGTCGAGAGCATCGGGGTTGGCGTTGGGGAACAGGCGCTGGAAGGGGATCTTAGGCATGAACGGCAAGTTGCGAACGTACTCCTGAGCACGAGGTGAGCCAATGCGGCTCAGAGTCTCCTCGTTAGGAGTACCCAGATAGTGGAGAATCTGGTTAAGCTGGTCGACATAGTCACGGCCCTTGAAGAAGGGCCGGCCACCCAGCAGCTCGGCCAGAATGCAACCCACGGACCAAACATCGACTGGGCATTGATCAGCTACAGCGCCGGGGTATTGGGGGGTTATCAGGGACACATACTGGCTTTCGTGTAGCTCTGGAAGCTCAGCATGATTTCCGGCGCACGGTACCATCTTGTGGCGACATATTCCGTCATGTATCCTGCATTCTCCTCCGGGTCGATGGAGAAACCACGGGCCAAACCGAAATCGCAAATCTTCAGCTCGCAATCCGCGTTGACGAGAAGGTTTCCGGGCTTCAAATCACGGTGCAGAACGTTGGCCGAATGGATGTATTTGAGACCGCAGAGGATTTGGTAAATGAAGGATTGGAAATGGGCGTCGGTGAGGGGTTGTCCGGAGCGAATGATAGCGGCCAAATCGCACTCCATCAATTCTAATAATATATGAAGTTAGCAACAGGAAGAGAAACCCGTAGGTGCAGAAAGAAGCCTCACCCTCGTACAGGTACGTTTCGTTGAAGTTGTCCGGGCGGGGAATGTCCATGTCATACAAGCAAGTGATCTAAGCCATCTTCACGTCAGCCTCGAGGCTCGGAGCAATCACCGGAAGGAATGGAAGAATAACGCACGTTACGGTGACCTCTGAAGTGCTGGAGCAGCTTGATCTCTCTGAGAGCGCGCTTGGCGAGGATCTTCTTGCTGAAGACGTTGGTGACCTTCTTGATGGCGACACCCTCGCCGGTTTGAGCATTTGTCGCGGCGCTGATATTGTCAGAACAATGAGTTTCAACGAAACGATAGCGAATGCTCCTGGATGAATGACACCATCGGAGAATATCAAACCTACCAAACAATGCCGTATGCGCCCTGACCCAGCTCCTTGGTGACATTGTAGCGCTCATCGACGATAAAGTCCTGGTTGAAGACCTTGAAGATCTTGCGACCCTGCAAGTCGGCCATGATAAACACTCGTACAAAGGAGAACACAAACAAGAAAGATAGTAAAAGAAAGAGGAAGCGAGACGAGGGAAGGCGGGGGAAGTAAAGGGGAAGTTATGGAGGCCGAATGGGGAGAATCGATGAGGTAGGGAGAGAGTTGTTCCGATGGATGGATGGCACCAGGTGGGGTAGTGACTGAGTTAAGTCAGTAAATAGTAGCAAAAAAGTAGGCGCTGGGCTGGCCCGGCGGTGCGTTTTGGAGTCTCTTTTCTTTTTCCCTGGTGGATTTAGGCGTCTCTCTCTTGACTCTCTCAGAGAAAATTCCCTCCGGTTTTGGTTGCTTTTTCCCTTTTTTTTTACCCTTATTTTTTTTCTCTTTGTCACTTTTCTCTCCAGACAAGCTCGGCGGGTTGAAAGTACAGAACCAGTCAATCAATTCACAAGGAATGGTGTCTGTCAGGCCCGTCGTCTGGGTCAAGCGCCCCGCCAATGTCCGGGAGGGTCTGGATTTACTCTGAAACAGGAGAAGCTGGAATTGCGGGATCAACAGAGACACGGCAAGACTGGGCTTGAACAATAATAATGTCAACAGGCTGAAGCTTGAATTGAAAAAAAGAAGAAAAAAGAGAGACTCATACCCACCCCCGACAGGAGAAATAAACAGAACCTGGGAGATGCAGTTCGTTGAAAGTGACGAGGTGTGACGGGCAACGCACATTGCTTTCTGATTGGACCCTGCGAAGCGCGCAGCTTGCAGCAATTGAGGGGAACCGTTCATAGTCGGAGATGCAGGAGGAGTTGCAGCCCATAGGAAGGCAGCAATGCAATTAATTAGTGACCATTGGTCTCCATAACGGCGTCGCGAGGATGTAAAATGCCGGAGCCTCTACGGAATACTTCATACAACAGAGTGGGTTCATTCAACGGGTCCATCGCGATCTGCTCCGACAACCCGGTGCCTGAGGCACACTCTACATCTTCCCACTCCAAAAAGATAGTCTTCATCATCACATATTCTGGGAGAAAGAATCTGTATACGGTATCTTATATATGTATCTATGTCTTTCTCTCTCTCTCTACATCTATGTGTATCTAATCGAACAGTCATTCTTATGCAGCATGGTTCCAAACCACCTCCAACACCTCCACCTCCTCAGGTGTCACCTCATGCACATAAATCTGCCTCACTCGGTCCTTCTCCTGCACTACATCTCTCATCCGAAAAGAAATCTTCTTTTCATCCTTGCGGCGTAGTGGCCCCAGACTGTAAGTAAACGGATTCGGACCAGTATACTGGCTAGCATTCCATGTCTGCTCCATGGCCAAGGGATCGTCTGACACGGTCGAATACTTGATCACGGAAAATCCGTTGACAAGATACCACTCGTCCTGTAAGAGCCACCTGTGGAGCAAACACTCCTCGCCACAGATGCTGGACGCCTTGCTGAGAGCCGCCATATCAGCCTGAAACCAAGACTTCCAATGATGTACCGAGAGAGGCTGAGCCCGCCCAGCCTCGTAAAATCCTGACGCATCTCCCCGGAGATCCAGCTGGAAAAGATCTCGCTCCCAGGACAGCTTAGTATTCGTGTGCTTATAGATGCACTGCGAGAGCATGTGGTCACCACCCCCTTTGAACACGTAGCATTCATCGAACCACGGCTGGAGTTGCTCGAGAAGCGGAAGAGATAGGAAGATCCCTGCACCACCATATGCCATGTAGCCACTACTGTACATCTGCTGCAGATCCTCCGTCACAGCACCGACATACTGAGGCATTGAGGCATCGTAGGTGGTCAACCGATCCACCAGCCGGGTCATTGACGGGAAGAATGTATCATCATCCATCATGACCACCCACTGAGTAGACTTGTCCTTGTGCTTGTACAAGTACTGCACCAGATAGAAGTATCGATCCAAGCGCTCATTATCTTCCTCGACGATGGTAAGCCGAATTCCCAGCGCCTGCGCCCGTCTCTCAGCCTCCTTCTTTTGTCCCCCGCTTTCCACCACAGCCAAGATCTGCGCATTGGTTCCCGCAGCCCAATGCGCAAACGCATCCAGGGAGTCAATCAAGCGATCAATCGATGTAGAAAGGCCGAATATGATATGAGATGCGTCCGGGGGTGCACTGGGCTGAGGCCCCTCGATGGTCACGGTGGCAGTACATTTTTCCAGCGACAGAGTCTCTCGATGGGCTTCGGTGTCTAGGTGTACGGTGCGAAACTTGGGAAAGCGCGTGCTAAGAGTATCCGCATAACCAGTGAAGTTTGCCGTAGGTGTCACGGCTATCTCAAGCCTAGCATATTGTACTGTGGCGGTACTGGAGTGTTGTCGGAGAAGATCGAGATCCACGAAGCAAGGATTGGTGTCATCGGGTGAAGCTAGGGAAGGACTAGACTCGAGATCGGGAATTGGAGCAACATAGCTAGGTCTGAAGTAGAAGAATAGTATGAAGCCTGCGGAGAAAAAGGCCGCCGCGATGATTAGTGCCGACGCCCTTGATTGGCGCCATGACCGACGGTGCAACGGCGGAGCCATCATGGATCAGTCATGACGGTGATGCGATTGAGTCTTCCCGTACGCGAGATTGTGTGCACCACAAGGATCATCCTCACCCCGGTCAGAAAGGGCGTGATTCAGTCCTCAGGGAGTGGAAGTTGGGTTGGGAAGAAGTAAAACGTGGTACATTAAGTCCGAACAGTCTGGCTCGCGTTTCGGGAATGGACGGTCGGACATCCGAAACGCAATCGGCGGCCAGCCCTTGGGGTCGGACTTTACCCCCTTTCTTAGGAGATCAATTGCTTCTAAAGTGGAATAATTCATGGATTGAGGCTCAGTTAACAATCAACAGCTAGCTCTAACGCCCTTGCAACTCTAAACAATATCCTCTGCCGCCATATACGTGAACTTTTATCCCGAAGGCTATAGATACTCAATCACCGTAGAAACACAGCATCACGCAGCGCTGGCTTCAACTTAATCTCCTGGTCTAATCACTCATCTCTGCCCACATCGCCTCTTATGCGATCTAGTATCTAAGTCATGGTATATTGACACGTAGATCTCGTAGCACGTAATTCAGAACCCGCGATGCAAACGATCAGATGCAAGAAAAATGATGTTTCACTTAGAGAGCGTTGACCAGTCTCCGCTCCTTTCTCAGGACCCGGAGCTTTTCGCGGACCTCGTCGAGAGGAATCATTACGCCCTGTTTCTGGGTGGCAGGGTCATCACGGTTACGGATGTTAACCGTACGGCTCTCCTTTTCGGAAGCGCCAACAACTATTCCAGGTTATCAGCGCAGGTCCAAGAGAAGCAGGGATTCAGATGTTACTTACCGAAGATGAAGTTGTATTGTTGAAGCTGTCCAGTACGGATCTTCTTCTGCATGGTGTTGCCGCTGAGGTCGATGTCCACGTTCAGCTTATCGCCGCGGAGAATCGTCTGCAACTCCTCAACGTAGTCGTTGACAGCAGGCATGACAGGCACGATTAGGATCTGACGAGGGCTGATCCAGAAAGGCCACTTGCCACCGAAGTGCTCGATCAAAATTCCAAGGAAACGCTCAAAACTGCCGATGATAGCACGGTGGATGACAACCGGGCGAGCACGGCCAGGACCAGGCTCGTTGGGCTTGGCCTCACCCTCCTTAGCGGCATCAGCAGAAGCCTTCTCGTTGCTCATGTACTCGAGCTTGAAGTTGATGGGAGCCTGGTAATCAAGCTGGATGGTGGCACACTGGAACTCTCGCTTGAGGGCGTCAGCGATGGTAATATCGATCTTCGGACCGTAGAAGGCACCATCACCCTCATCGATGGTCCAGTCATTGCCCTTGAACTTGGTCATGGCCGCCTTGAGCTGCTCCTCTGCGTAGTTCCAGGTCTCGAGCTCACCAAGATACTTCTCAGGCCGGGTGGAGAGCTTCAGCTTGAAGGTGAAGCCGAAAAGGCCGTAGATGGACTGCAGGAAGTCGAACAGACCCTCGATTTCAGACGTGATCTTTACAGTGTTAGCTTCGGATGATTCAAAAGGGTGCGATCCCGATCGTGAAAACTCACCTGGTCTTGAGTACAGAAGATGTGAGTGTCATCCTGCTGGAACTTGCGAACACGGGTGAGACCGCTCAGGGCTCCGGATGCCTCGTTTCTGTGCAGGACACCAAAGTCCGCGATTCTCAGAGGAAGCTCTCTGTAACTTCTCTCGCGGTGGCCGAAGAGCACAAAGTGACCGGGGCAGTTCATAGGCTTAAGAGCCCACTCCCTCTTCTCGACATCAAGCTTGAACATGTCATCCTTGTAGTGGGCCCAGTGACCAGACGTCTTCCAGATGCCGACATCATACATGTTGGGGGTCTGAACCTCCTGGTAGCCGCGCTTACGGTACTCGGAGCGCAGTAGGGATTGGAGGGCGTTGAAGATCTTGGTACCGTTGGGCAGAAGGAAAGGGCATCCTGGAGAAACCTCGTCGAAGAAGAACAGCTCTTGCTCCTTACCGATCTTAACGTGGTTGCGCTTCTCAGCCTCCTCCAAGAACTTCAGGTGCTCTGACATCTGCTTCTTATCGGGGAAAGCAACACCGCGGATACGCTGCAGAGAGTCGTTGGACTGGTCACCGAGGAAGTAGGCGGAAGAGTTCTTTCAAGGGTCAGCCGAATATTTGTGAGGCATAGATTCACTATGATACACACCTGCATGATCTTGAAGGTCTTGACCTTGCCGGTGCTCTGGATATGGGGACCTCTGCACAGGTCGACCAAGGTACCACACCGGTAGACAGTGCTCTTCTCTCCGGTGACGAGCTTGTCGATGTAGTGCAGCTTGTACTTGCTGTACGCGAACATCTTCTTGAGGTTCTCCTTCGTAACCTCCAGTCTATCGAAACTCTGCTTCTCCTTGAAAATGCGGTTGGCGTGGCGGTCCAACAACGGCCAATCGGTCTCTCTGACGACGCGGCTATTTCACTATCAGTATAACTCTTCCGCATTATCTTCACCCAAACTTACTTCTCCGGCATGGCCATGTCGTAGAAGAAACCCTGGGGCGTGGGAGGACCGTGGGACAGAAGACATCCATATTCGCATTCACAAGCCTCACCCAGACAGTGAGCGCTAGAGTGCCAGAAAACCTCCCTACCCTCGGGGTGATCGAAGGGGACATAAGAAACGGTGCAATCTCCCTCGAGCGGACGGCTCAAATCCCACAGTTCCTTTCCAACCCTCGCGAGAACAACATTGGCGCTCAACTCTTTGGGCACGTTCTTCAGAAGCTGTGCGGGGGTGGTCTCCCAGGCGTTTGCGGTGACATCGATGGAGTTTCCGTCGCCAAGCTCGAGGTTGACCTTGATTTCGGGGTGGGGCTTGTTCTTCAGTTCCTCGAGGTATTGTTGCCAGAGTTCTTCGAAGAAGTTGTTACGTTCGACAATGAAATCGGGGAGCCCGTCACCTGGCGCATTTGAAGGTTAAAAGAGGGGTTTGGGAAGCGTATGGCGGGGCAGGCAGTGGCTCACCAGCAGGTTTGGCGTCGGCCGCCGGCCGAACGGGAAGGTCCTTTGCGCCTTCAGAAGACATTTTGTATCCAGAAGCGTCTGAAGAACGACCTGGGAGTTTTAGACCTGGGAAGAGGGGCAGGGCCAGCAACGATGTCTGACTCAGTATCTCTAAGGAATCGGACGATCATGAAACGCAAATCGACAGTGAGGGACCGAAGGCGGTGAGCCACGTGACAGAAAACTGCCCTTGCGGCTAGCGACACTTTACCGTTTCGAGCTTCCCACCATTTGAAAACTTCTCCGGACTCCGAGATCCAGGTCGACCGCATCAACAGCAATTAAACATGTCTTTCCGTGGAGGCCGTGGCGGTTTCGGTGGCCGTGGAGGTGAGCTCAAGCAACCTTAGAGGTCGATCGCAGTGCTGGGTATGAGCTAACGAAAATTTCGTCGGATAGGTCGCGGAGGTTTCCAGCAACCTCTCGGTCCCCCTGCCCAAGTTCTGGGTAATTATACGCCAAAATGCGATTGGAGTGTTTGGGACTAACGCGGAATAACTAGAGATGGGAACTGTCATGCATTCTTGCGAAGGCGAGATGGTTTGCGAATCCATCAACCCCAAGATTCCTTACTTCAACGCCCCCATCTACCTCGAGAACAAGGTATGCTCGACTCAATTGCTCTCCGCAAATTCGCGATGCGCTAACGCAATTCTTCAATAGACCCCTATCGGCAAGGTCGATGAAGTCCTGGGCCCTATCAACCAGGTCTACTTCACCATCAAGCCCCAGGAAGGAATTGTCGCGACCTCCTTCAAGCCTGGTGACAAGGTCTACATTGGTGGCGACAAGCTCCTTCCCTTGGAGAAGTATGTTGCATGCTGTTGTTGATCATGATTAAAACATGTCTAACTTTGCAAAACTAGGTTCCTTCCCAAGCCCAAGCCCGCTCCCGGTATGATATCGCTCGCTTCGCGCAACAATTCTATGTGCTTGATCCTAACCAGAACACAGGTGCTGCCAAGCCCAAGAGAGCTGGCGGTGGTGCCAGAGGCGGTCCCATGCGCGGTGGCCGTGGTGGTGGCCGTGGTGGCCCCATGCGTGGTGGTCGCGGCGGCGCTCCCAGAGGACGTGGTGGTCCCCGGGGTGGTGGCTTCCGTGGTGGTGGCGGTGGTGGTTTCGGCGGTGGTTTCTCGAGGGGTGGTGGCAGAGGAGGACCTCGTGGTGGAGGCTTCCGCGGACGGTAGACAGTCTCTGTCTTGCCTGGTAGTACTGTCTTCTTACGGCGTTATGGGAAACGGGAGCTTTTACAGGAATTTATTTGTCTCTATATTCTTGTGCATCCTAGGAAAAATTTGCTGCTTCTCTGTACGCAGAGGCTGTCGTGAATCTCAGCCATCCAATTCATGTATTGCTACGATCGATTATGCGGAATATTGTTCTTTCATTATTTGTTTCGGGTCTTCGCAGAAGCCATAAATTGCCCATATGACTGGGTGGCAAATGTGGCGCAGTAAATTTTTTTCAGTGACGGTCTGGAGTGGCTAGTGTCCGTGTGTGGCGCATGACAACACCGCCTTGCAATGACGTCTGGCCACGCTTGTGCCGTAGAATCTGTGCGCCTGTCAACACTTCTGAAGACAGCTGCCTAGTACCATTGCATCATTTCTTTCCTATCCCCGCAACCTGTGCTCGATTATATCCAACGTACACCACTACTCCGATTGTTTGTCCTGCGAGAATCTTCTTTTCGTCAAATTCACCTGAGCATGTCTCGCAGAGTTTCTGCCATGCCGTCAAATACTTCCACGACTAGCGGTGTTCCACCTGCGGGTAACGGTGGTGAGCCTGCATCCCTGCGACAAGATCCTTAAAGCTTGGGAAGCTAAATGGTAGCAGCTCAAGAAAAGCAAAAGATGCTTCTCTCTTCCGAAACAGGTCACTTTAGCATGATCAGGTCAGCCATTGAGAGTTCGTTGCTATGATTTCGACCACTTCACTTACACAATTACGCACATCAGGGCTCTGCATCTTGCTGATCTGGTAACTGAACTCAATGGTAATATACCAGATCCTCTCTCAGACCCGTTCATATCCTGGAATATCCATTCGCTGACACCCCATTATAGGATTCTGCGGAGGCAAGCACAAATTTTCTCCTTCCTTCGAGCCCGAGGACCCGGAACTAACCGCCCATAAACAGTGATGTCCGTCTTCTCCTCGATGCGTTACTGTCTTGGTGACCCTCGCGATTTTGGCGCAATTTGGGCTGCTCTGATATTCATGCCCTTTGGGTTGTTCTTCGACTTCATGGATGGACGGATTGCTAGGTGGAGGAAAAAGTCGTCACTCATGGGACAAGAGCTCGACTCACTTGCCGATTTGGTATGGTCCCCTACTTCACGTGTCATGCGGCTCTTTCGCTCATTGTTCGCTTTCTGCGCTCTAGATTTCCTTCGGAATGGCACCTGCCGCCGCAGCTTTTGCCCTCGGAATGCGCACCAGCCTCGACCACCTGCTCCTCTCCTTCTTTGTTCTGTGCGGCCTGACACGATTGGCCCGGTTCAACGTGACTGTTGCTGTTCTGCCGAAAGACAAGTCCGGAAAGTCGAAGTACTTTGAGGGCACCCCCATCCCGACTACATTGTCGATTACCTTTTTCCTGGCCTACTGTGTCTCTCAAGACTGGGTACTGGAAGATCTACCCCTTGGCCTTGTAGCCCAGGGCACAGCGTTCGAATTTCACCCGCTGGTACTACTGTTTGTCTTGCATGGCTGCCTCATGGTCAGCAAAACGCTGCATATCCCTAAGCCTTAGATGCAGGGAGAACCGAACGGGCAATCAGGCACTTGTCCGGATCAGGATTCCTAAATGTGATAGAGATGTTTTTCACGAGCAATATACACCACGGGAGACCGGATAATAGGGAAAGAAAAAAGTATGGTACGATGTATCTGTGGAAGATAACGCAGTTGTCACAGAAATGAAAATAATTTGCATATGTTGCATAGTGTCTTGTCCTTTGTCTTCAGCCGGTATCGGGTTTGATATTGTACACAGGATATTATCTACCTCTAGCTTATTGCAATGACGGTACCTTATAAGTTCATAGTATGGCGATCCTTGTTATGTCATCGATGCAGCAGCTACGCAATGTTTCTTGCTTTGTCCTAGATACTGAGTATGTTTCGAAAATCAAGATCCCCTAAACAGATAGGGAAGACACAACTATGACACTGTTATAGATTGTTTTGGAGAAAAATATCAAGTGTGCGAATGGTTGTAGCATTGGATGTTCACTTCAAGACCAAGTATATGCTCAGATTCGTGCAGGAAACATCACCTAAGTACATACTCGTAGAGGATATAACGGTGCAGCTTGCAATAAGCTCCAAAGTAGGAATCCGAAGCCCAACGAACTGATCATCCATCCACATCCGATATTCATATAATCTATGTGTCATATAATCGACTCAAAGATACCACATGACCTACCAGATATGGAGGGAAGACCAATGCACGCCGAGTCCGAAATCATGGGGGAACCGTCCCTCTCGTGTTGATAAGCAGATCAGAAACTAGACGATGGAGCCGATGGCCACTCAAGCCCTCTATGGAGGTTCTAGCCTGCCAACTTCGACCTCCTAATATTACAGAACAAGATGTCTTAGAAGTCCCTACACTCTCAATGATCAGCAAGATACATGATCATGATCATCATAAACATTTCCTTACCATCCCACCAAGCAGCAAAGTGAAGAAGCAAAAGAAATGGAAGTAAGTCAGTCACCAAGACCAACCCTACCTCACCCCCCGAGTCAGTCATGGTCACACACACACACACACACACACACTCAAAATCCAAGTGAGACCCTTGAGGCTATCGTTACCAGGTCAAGTTCCCAGTGATCCATCCGCGTGTTCCCTCAGCCAACCCAGTTGATTATTGTGTATCTACTACGTAGAGCCGAGATTTTTCCTTTCTTGGCAAAGCAATAGAAAATCCTGCGCTATTGTCTCTTGCGCGTTCACGATTGGGTATATCATTGACGGAACTTTTAAAAATGGAAACCCCGGGAGAGACATCGTGGATCCTGGTGACATGTTCTAGACCCCTCGGTCAGGGTTTCACTTTGAGTTGAGCCTTTTTCTACTGGGTCGCTTTGACTCACTCATTTGCTTGCTTGCTCGCCCGCTCGCTCACCGTCTCTGGCTAAATGGTAGGACCTCTTGGTAGTCGGAGGTGGTATCCGGTGAGGCCGAGAAAAGCGTTAAGTGGTGAATTGCCGACAGTGCCGGTGATCTTTCCTTTGCCCTGCGGATGGATGGATGGGGTTGTGGTGTTGATAGTTTCTATTCCTACAATATTATTCCTGGTCGTTCGCTACTAGTAGGTGGGATTGGTCTTTGTTTTGCTTGCTTTTTTTTTTCTTCTCTTTTTTCTTGCTCTTGCCTTTATCCTTTCCCGGTGTATCCGTACTATTTTGGGAGTGCTGACATCGGTGGATGGTGTTCGAGTAAGTAGTCGAGCCTTGCCAGTGCAAGCCAGTGAAGTGGAAATCTACAGCCATCGCAGCATAGACAGACCCTACACGACAAACAACTTCGGGGAATGCTAAATTTCAGACACCCGTTCCTACTAGGCCTGGAATGATGGAAAAAGAACGGACGATAAGCTTATTCGGCATGTGAAGAAGGATTGCTGCTGCTGCTGCTGCTGCTTCATACTTCTAGAATTCCTCCCATGGGCCCGCGGGAAACGGAACAGTTGATCGTGCATGTTCGTTCCCATCTTCAAAATAACATTTGTGGGTATGTTATTGGTGACGAAAGATCAAGCATCTTCCTTCAACGCGCGCTCCAAAGGAGTAAGAGGAAAAAGTAAAAGCAAGATGCACGATGTAACGGACATGTGTCTACTTTCCTGTAGAATGGGCGGCAAGAATTCGCCGGTTGTTTCTTATTGAACATAGTAGTCTCCGACCGAAGGAGTCGTCATCAGTTGCAATTCCCCATTGCCCATCAATCAATCAATCAATTAACCTCCTACAACTGGATCGGCCCATTACAATTTATCAGCAACTGAATTTTCTGGTCGTCGAGAAAGCGCCGTGATTTCAATTGCCTGCATAGAGTCTTGCAGATATACGCGTCAAGGGGGGTGGGAGCGGAGAATCCTTGCGTAGATACTACTTACTCAAGCGGTGTTTACATTTACAACACTTACTAACTACTTATTTTTTTTTTTTTACGGGGCGCAGGCTGCACTTCTGCAGGGGTTCCAAAGGTCCCACTATCTACCGCGCGCCCACCGCACCCCGGAAACGACCCGACCGTCTTGAACCATCGGAACCATTCCAGTCGCAGGTTGGTAATGATGCAAGAGGATCTCCCTCAACCGAAACAATGATGTGGCAAATGAAGCTCTGATACGTAGAGCATAAGTGCGTTGTGTCGCGTTGGTGAATCGCTACCCACTATTGAGTAGTGACTGCTTCAACGGTAAAGCCAAGCACGAGGTAACTCGAACTCTTTTTTCTGACTCGAAAGAGGAGAGGGCCCGCCGGTCGCTAACTAGATCACTTTTAACCAACAAACTGGAGCACTCGAATCCGTGACGGCGTGCATAGCTTCCCCCAAGCAGCGATATCCCATTGGGTAGACCATGCGGATCAAGGATCAAAAAGGATTAGTTTGGATGCTCTCAGCGACTGTTGGAATTGCGATGCGATGATGGGCCCCAGAGTTTGGGCGGTTAATCGACTCCCCTGTCCAGTGACATCCTCCGCCGTTCGTCCTCGAGGTGTGTCGGCGCCAAAATTTGGGGGAGAAGGCACACACTCCTCACTACTGACGGTTGTATCTGATGCTACTAGTAGATGCGTAGTTGGTTTACGTTCTTGTGTCTCGAGATGGATGACGCAACGATTCAGAGACCGAATACATTATTGACGCCAGAACCAATTCCATTACCTAGTGGTTTGGCCGGACATCTCCTTACAAGTGGGCAGAGGAAAACTTCGCGCTGCCCGTCATGCAGTCATGCAAGGATCGGTACAATTGAAACCTCGAACAACTCATCATTAGTCAGTCGGATTTGGAAAAGTCCATCGTGGAGCAGGCGTTTCTATCGACATTCAATGGCTGGTGTCAGCACCCGAGCAGCAGCAGCGTTGTTACTACTTGCTGAGTTTGGACGGGTGAGTTTGCGCGAGGCTTGTGTCCTCGTACAGAGGGCATCAGTGCCCGAGGTCGTACCGAGGATCTTTGCTATTTATAAACCCTCTTCCCGGGCAAAATTCGAATTGCTTCTTCCAATTTTGGGTCGTTTTCCATTTCTTTATGTTTTTTCCAGTTGGGTACGTGTATTTGTCTTGCCGGAGGTGCCGAATAATGATCGTAAGGGACAGACAGATGTTCAGTAGGGAAGATGCATGGAATGTCGAAGTAGCCATACGGAGATTACATGAAGGTAAAGGGAAAGGAAAATATTCTCGCCAACTAGATCACAAGATGCTGGTATGTGCCTAGTATGTATGAGTCGCACATTTCATGCCTTTCGAGTTCCGACCGCGGCATCAGACGGAAGGAAGGAAAGTATGTTATGGAGGAGTTGAGACGAAGGGTAAAAAATCCCCCCAAAAAACGCCTGAGCATGTGCCTATTTTCTTCCCATCCCCCTCTTTGTATGAGTAAATATACAGCGCCGCCACCAATCATCATGACTGGCCCCCCATGACCGGGTGGATTGGGGAGGGGGGGATGAATAGTTAGTTAGTGCATGCCAGCAGCAGCTCCAATTGTAATTGTGCCGCCCGTGTGGCCCAGAATGGAAAGGGATGAGCCCTGCCCCTGGACGGGTCTGCTGATGTAATATAATTCAAGATATATGATTGGATAGAAGGGACAGGTACGCGGGACATGGTAAATTACCGCCCTGCACATCCAGGGTCAGGTACCGTCGGGGAACCACCAACAAGAGAACCGCGTCTGGATTCACGCCCTGCCATTGGGGGAGAAGGCAGGGAATGGAGGGGGATGATGCTCCTCCCTCACGCTTTGTTTGTCCCTTTTTTTTTTTTCGACCGTCCCAGTAGGGGAAACTTTAGTACGCGGGCGAACTCAGAAGTCACTAACTAACTACCTGGTGCTGCAGACAGGCAGGCACACACAGGCCCCCCTCTCCCCTTCTCTTGTCTCTGACCTCCCCCTACGACTAAACTACGGAGGTACACAATGATACTACTTACTTACTAGTACTAGTTCACCCGTCAGTGCGTCGCTTAATGCCTTCCCAGTCCAGTCCTCCGCCTCTGCAGTAGTCACCCTGTTGTGTCCCAGGAAGGAGTCTGTCAATCGTTTCTGTCGCCTTCCCCTTCTCTGACCCTCTTTTCTCTTTCCTGCTTTCAACCCAGTCGCTCTTTTTGGCCTTCTATTAGGACATTATTGTTTTTGTGCAATTTTTTATTCCTATTTTCATTGGATTTTCATCTTTCCCAACTCTTCATACTACTACTCTCGCTTCTTCAAAACTGTTGTGGCCCCTAGGTCGAGCTTCTATTATCTGGATACTCGGATTTATCTCGAAGGGCCATAAAAGAATCTCCCCTGTTGCTGTGAATGCGAATCCACCCTTGGCCGATTTCCCTTCCTGAACCGCCCGTTCAGGCACGCTCATTAAACTCTTCCCGACAGAAAGGGGTGCTTGAAACGACCGGTCCAAAGGGCCCTTCCCCGCCAGGGACCGCTTACCCCCAGGCCAGACACCACACTCTTTCATCACTATCTTTACTCTAATCCTCACCTACTACCATCCTCTGACCCTCTACTGTCGGTCTATAGCCGACCAGTTCTCCACGTCAAGGCCTGGTCCCATCTACGTCACTCGTCCTCAACGTCGGCCCTTGCAAACTATCCGTACTCTTCTTCCACTACCCCGGAGGACCGTCGCGACACGTCCAGCTCCAAGGACATAGGAGTGAGAAAAGACCACCAGGACTATCGACTTTTGAAAGTGGCTCTGAGAGGTTCAAAGGGTTACGCAGGTCGTCCCTTATTCTTCGATCAACCTCCCTCGCTGTATCTTTGAGGTCACTTCTCGCCAAACTCAACCAAACCTTACCCCTTGGGATCCTTTCTTACGTCGACCATGTACCACACCACGAAATCATTCACGATGCGGTCGGCTCTTGCAGCCTCAGCCCTTCTCCTATCCATCAGTCTGCCTGCAACATATGCCTATACCGAGGAATACAATGGCTGTTACTCCGACTCGACGCCACTGAAAGATCAGGGAACCTATACATATCAGAGTGATGGATACTGTCAGAAGCTGTGTTTGAAGGACAACTACTCAGTCTTTGCCCTGCATAATGGGCAGGACTGTCTTTGCGGTAACCTGCTACCTGCCTCGTCAGCAAAGGTTGATGACAGCAAGTGTAACATCGCATGTGCCGGCTGGCCTTCTGTGGACTGTATGTTTTCCGGTTTTGGGCCTCAGATGGCACATCTGCTAACGGTGACAATATAGGCGGTGGCAGCAGTACTTATTCCGTCTACCTTACTGGCATTGAGGATGACGTCGACCATTATTCCGCCTCGAGCACAAGTACCTCCAGCAGCGAGAGCGAAACGTCTACAACATCAACCCAGGAAGCCCATGTCGTCACTAGCTCTGGCACCACACAAACCGTGTATGCAACGTCCGGGACCGATGCGACCGCATCTGCAACTACCGAGGGTGCCACTGAAGCTCCAAAGAAGAAGAGCTCAAGTGCCAACACTGCTGCCATTGCAGCCGGCGTTGTCGTGGGTGTAGTAGGAGCTTGTGCTCTTGCTGGCGCTGGCTTCTTCCTGTGGCGCTTCAAGAACCGCAAGTCGCAATACCGTCGTAGTGTTGGTGTGGACAACTATGGCAACCCGATGTCCCAGCACTCCATGTCGGATTCCCGTTTCGATGGTGATTTCATGGCGCAGCGCCGTCAGAGCAATGGCAGCATCGATGATGACCAAGACTTCTCTCGTCGCATCCTGCAGGTGGGCTTAACTGAACGATGACCAGATATGAAGAGTTCCGGCTAACAGGTACTAGGTGACTAACCCTGATCGACGCTAGAAGGGATGCGTTCGCCAGCTTTCCATGGACAGCGCCATTTGTGGACCAAGATCCTATCTGTGCATGTCTTTCAACGATAGAGCCATGCCCTGCCAGATATCCTCCTCCTACCTTACACAACCTTCGCTTGTCACCATAGATTCACCCTTCACGACAGCTATCCTTTCCCTCCTTTTATTATTCCTGCTGGACTATACAGCGACCTTGCAATACCAGTGCATGTTTGCAGATAGGATATGATGACCCCTTCAGCCACTGGCTACGAAAAGCACATTCGCTCCATACGTGTGGTATGTGCCGCCCGTGGCGGATAGCAACCCTCCCGGAGCGTTGTTGAGAAAGCCGACCGTGACTTTTGCTTTAGTGAAGGCTTGCGGCTCTTCAGAAACACCCAGGTCACTAGCCATTGATGATGGTTACATTTTCGACTTGGGGTTCTCTGTCTCATCAAAGGGCTTCTCAAGGTCAAGGACTCGACGAGTCGGGCTGAGGTATATCAGTTTCAGGATCTCATTTTTGATAAGGCGTTATTTGAAGTGGGCTGTATTCTAGTCGATTACCCTCGTGGACAGCATTTATTTTTCCCAAACCTTTTTGTTATTGAGCCGAGAACCCCCCAATTGTTGTATTTCTGCGATGCTTGTTTCTATGGCGGTGGGCCGCGCGTGCTTGTCATGGGTACTACATACAGTAGCCTTGACTGGAAGATTGTAAGTACTGTGACGGACAGCCCTGTAGTTAATGTGAGGATGAATGTGTACCATGTGCGTGATGCATTGATTATCAGTCAATCATCTTGTAGCTGTAATGATGGTTTTTTTTCTTTTCTCCTTATGCAATGACCATATAGACCTCGGGGTTTGGTAGCGTGATGACCGATGAATAACGATATTTCTTTCCACAAGTAGGCAGCCATATGATCTCGTCTGATACTATATACTGTTATCGCCAATCATATAATTGGTGTTTTATCCGAATTGATGTGGTTGAACTTGTTACTTAATAGTAACTACGCGGACACTAGTACCATATTGAAAGATATATATTCATCTGCACCTTCACTACCTACGTCAAGGGTAACATCATCTACCATATGATGTCTATGTATGACGCACGAAGACATGTTCAATACTATTATTACTAATCCCTGCTTGGAGTCAAATAGTTTCGTGGATACAACTAACTATGACCTGCTAGTTTTAATCATCGACAATTAAGTTACTTCCCAGATTTGGGTTCATGAGGGATTGAAGTTCAGTTGCTGATCTCTGTTTTTTGTGTAGTTAGTAGTAGTACTACGGTGGAGGAGGGCTTGATGGGTAAGTATATGTTGATAAATACAGTACTATTTAGTAGTTAGCTAGCTAGCTAGTTAGCTAATGCTAGTTAGTATGTGGGAGTTCATTGTCCCTCTAATCATAAAGTAAACTACTAATTGCCCCCTTCATGAGTTTTTATTAGTTGCCAGGCTTTTTGGGAGGGGGGATATCGGTGATGATTCCATAGTACTATATATATATATGTATATATACGCATACCACTATCTACTACGTTGCTACCAACAGCGCTAGTAGTCATACTTATATATATCAACAAGGGATTTATAGTCATCACGTCTGATAGATATCAATAGGCGTAGTATAATCATTAGTCAAGAAGATCAGGTACTACATTGGTTGGTGGTATCCAGTCGCTTTTTCTTAGAGCGGGTTGTACTTCGCTTATGATGATCATGTAAATAGTATAAGTAGTTGGGAGAAGATTCTCAAAAAGCAGTGGTAGTAGTAGTAGTAGTAGTAGTAGTAGTAGTAGTAGTAGTAGTAGTAGTAGTAGTAGTAGTAGTAGTAGTAGTAGTAGTAGTAGTAGTAGTAGTAGTAGTAATTCATTTAAATGCATGGGTATGTTATTCACACGACTCATGTACAGAGTATAGAAGAGGACTATTATGGGTGTTCTTTCTGAGTACTACGTGGACTAATCGTCGAGGTTAGTAGGTGGGATTTGGTTTGGTTATGTGGTTTGTATCGATTGGAGCATGATGTATGATGGCCCAGGTGAGAACTACGTGGTTTGAGAAGTCGATCTACGTTTCAAGATAGAAGGAGCAAGAGTTGCAGCGGGCATGCCGCGCCTTCCTCATTCGATTAGTTAACCGCATTACATCTTCTACGAAGAAGACCCTAGATAGTTACAATTGAACATCATCATCTGCTTTGCCTACGTTTGTTCCTCCTACGTTCGATTAGATATAGATCCTAGACCCGTTCGCTCCAGTACGGAGCAAGAGTGATAACAGAATATGATGATGTGTTTCTGGTTAAGTAGCTTTCGGTATTTGGTCTATAAGGTAGGAGAGAGTGTCTTCTTGATGCAGTGTGATTGCTTTGATGGATGTAATGACTGCTTGTGATATTGTCGATGAAGTATTCATTCGGAACATGAGAGGACAATGGTTCATGTGTACGTCACTTACTAAAGGGGAACAAAGAGCCGACCAACAGGATTGCGCGGGCCGGAGAGT